GCTGAACTCTCCGTAGTAACAGCAGTCTAGTTTTCTTAAAGACTTCTACTTTGGAACAATAATGACCCCCCAGAAGATCTCACCTTGATGAAACTGTGAATTATGGATCTCAGCTGCCTCTTATCCCCACTTAATGCCAATTCAAAGCAGATGAGTTTAAGTTTATCGCCTTTCTCACAGCTGATTCTGGTCAGTCGTCCATAAACCAGGACTTCCATCACTCCTGTATTATCTTGTATTTCATAATATATGCATTCATTACATACCAATTTCTGCAAAAGAAAATTAGCATCCATCTTCTGAGAACTGGATCAGGAATTTCCACAACTTTGAAAAATATAGGGTGTTAGTGGAAACTGTTGTCTCAGACCAGTTAATATGAGCTGGAGGTCCAGAATTACAGGTACCAAATAGTATAAGATATCTTGTTCAGTTTATCCTCCCATTTAAATTCTCTTTCTATCTTTCCTTCCTTTAAGTCTTTGTGTGCTGGGTTCTTCTAGAAAACTGGATTACTTTTCTAATTTTTCCTGCTCCCATCTCAGAATAGCTGAGATTTCTTAAGAAACTTGGATATAGTGTGGTCTGATAAGCTTTACAAGTTTCTTTGGATCTCCCTGAGAACAAAGGCCATTCATGTCTTATTATGAGTCTCAAAAGGATGGTTGCAAGTCCTCCTTAAGCAGATTATTATTTCAATATGTAATTCTTTCCTCTATCTTCTCTATTTATTAATTCTTCCCTAATCTGCCCAATCTTGAATATAGATCATCTACTTCCATTGTTCTAATTTCTATATCATTTACTTTACTCATTAATTCTACAAATGCACATGTGTGCACAGTCACTTAAACAGAGTGTATGGAAAACAACAAGGGGATAGGTAAAGAGCCACCCTAGAAGACATGTTTAATGGAATATGAAACAATACTTCACATAACGGTTAGGTCAGCTAACCTTAGTATTTCTATGATGTGTTGGGACTGAAATACCTACCCTAATTCTAAGAAGTCAGCAAAATTCTGCATTTTATTGCCCATATTAATATATTGTGGAATGAAATGACTTGATTTTTCTAGCGTTTCAACATCCGTATTTCTCTTATTAGTTAATGCCAAGGTTTTTTGCTCAACAATTTTTTGATGAATGAATGTGAAGAAGTGAGAGCACTTTAGAAGTCAGTTGATCAGAATCTTAGCTAACTGTGGATAAGAGCTGATTCTAGGGCAAAGTAATCTATTGATTTCTGACTCTGGTTGTCACAGTTGAAATCCAAGCTTGGAAGGGCAATTCTTTATTCACAATTAAGTTAAGCTGTCACTGAAAAAGGTGAGGCAGAACTCAAAGAAACAAAACCAGAAGGACAGCTCTCCCCCCCCCCCCCCCACCTCTCTCTATATATCTATATACATAAACATATATAGATGGATATAGATTTGTATGTATCTGTATATATATAGATATAAACTCTGCCCTTTACTGGCTCAGGGTGGCTATGAGTGGATTAGCACAGCTGTTAAAATGCTATGATTTCTGGAGGACTTGCATGCTGTTACCTTGGGAAGAAGAATGTTAAGAGATTGTCTATGTTATATTCTGAAGTGGGAAGAGGGCACCCAGCTATCCCTGGTCAGGGGGCTTTTGAGTTCCTGTGTTTATGAAGTTAACCAAATTCATTCAGCAGCTAAGACTTTTACATTCCGGGGTTGCAGAAGAAATATTGCAAAACAATGATGTGGGCTTACCTTATGCACCAGAAACACCCCATTCACAAATGTTCCTAGAGCTTGCGAGTAAAGATGACTGATTTTAGGAGTTGCATTTGCCTTTTGAATCAGGCTTTTAGAGATCTCCATCTTTCGGTCAGGGTTAACATCAGACACAGATGAGGCACTGAACACCTCCAGGAACCCATTGCGGCCAAAATAATCTGATATGGCAATGATTTTCTTTGGGATGAACTTCTCCTTCAGGTCAACATGATAAACCTTCACTTGGAAGAACTGGCTCTCAGTAGCCACTGTGGCATGAAACATCTTCTTCTCGCCTTCTCTGACATTATATGTAAATGGTTCCGTTGCTTTCAGCACCATCACTTCTTTAGGCCCCCTCTGGAATCCCTCCTCTCTGGAAGCTTCTTTAGGTACAGGCTTCAATCTTGGCTTCTACATAGAAGTATACACCAAAAACAGGCACAATTAAGAACAGGATTCACTCTCTAATGAGAATCATCTATGGCTAAATGTTGACATCAACAAAGAACATAATTAGGTGGAGTTGGGAAAAAAAAAAACCTAGACAAAGATCACTGACGTGGTATGTATAATCTAATGGAATGTATGGAGATGATTTAAACAGTGATTTTTCTTCTTTTTCATTGTTTTATGAGTGTGGTAGGAAGAATACTTTTCTTTAAAAGGTATTAACTCAAGGGAAGAACTATTTCTCCCAGGAAGAGCTATGTAGAGTACAGAGGCAGTGGGCAATAGCAATGCTGCTGTGTAGTGATTTCTAGTAGAGATGAGGATGAAAAAATCAACTTAAATTATCCCATCAACTCATTTCAGTGCGCAAGATAAGATACAAATTTGGATGAAAATAAATTGCCCTTGATAGCACTGTGAGTAGGGAATGGCTCCAGTCAGAATCCATTGATCTCATCCCAGTAGATGTGGCAATTTAAAGACCCAAATTAGAAAGTCTCTTTTCAGGAAAGCAGTGTTATGTTGAAAAAGGGTTAGTAGACGGTCACTGGAAAAAATCCCATGAACTTTCTGAATTTGGAAATGTCCTGGATAAAGGATGTTTTGAAGAGTAGCAGAATCAGCCACCCTAAAATATGTTTCTTTGGCACAGGATTATCTTAAGCTGATTATTTTGAAAAACAACATACATAGAGCAAGCTCTAAAACCAGAAAGAAAGTTGCCCTTTTGTAGGGGAAATGTGTATTTATAAATTAAATCTCCATTTCCAAGGGTGTCTCCCTCTGTGTACTAGGAAGAGAAGGACTCTAAATCTCAATAGAATACTATAACCAGAGGAGAAACTGACTTAAATTTGCATAACAAACATCACCCTTGTTTTTCCTGCTTTTCCTGGTAACCTCCACATAACTGGCCTCCCCACACCTTTCTTTCTTCTGTCTTCACTAAAGATGGTATTTAAGCTGGTGGCTTAGGCCATCTCAGGGAGTTACTCATTCTTCCTGGGTCTCTTCTATGTATAGATGAGGTATACCTGTTAATAAACTTCTGCTAGTTTTTTCTTGACAATCTTTGCTTTAATACAGGGGTCTCAGCCAAGAACTCAGAACGGTAGAGGGGAAATTGCTTTTCCTCCTCTATACACCCGTGTTAGAATAATGGCAGGGCCCTTAGGAGAAGAATGCCAAAGAAGTCTGGTGTCAGGGGACTTTTCTATGGCCTCCTGTCTACCCAGTGCCTGCACCATTTCTGAGTTTCAGGAGAGCAGTTTGAATTGGAGGGGAGGTTACTGATCTGTAAGAAGAAGTGTGAAGGCAAGCGGGGGCCATGGGAGTTCTAGGGACCAGTTCATGGAGACAGGCTAGCTGCCTCCACAGACCAGCAGTGCTCCATGTGGTTTGACTTGTACCGTTATACAGGCCACAGCCTGGGGGTCATGGGGCTTAACTCTGATTTCTCATCACTGTGGCCAATTGTCCCTACATCTGATGCTCATTCCCAGGCCAAGTTAATCAGTAAAAACAAATCTCATACTAGTAACAACAGCAGCACCTTGACAAGAAGTGCACAGGACCTAAGGAAGAAATTATGTATCTATACTCAGGGTCATGAAAGAAGACCTGATGGACACATGTTCTTATTATGTTCATTGTGTGTATAGGGAATACTGAAAATAGCCTAAAGTCAAATAGTAAAGGATTATTTTTAAATTTATAAAAATTTAAAAATGCAGTTATTCTCTTACATTAAAATAATAATTTAAATCTATACTTCTTGAATTAAGTAGCACTTCAAGATATAGCAGGTGAAAGAAAAAACCTGAATTATAGAAAAATATGTGTAATGTGATCAACCTGGGACAAATTGATATTCTTTGTATATACATAACAAAAGGTAAAATCAGAAAGACTGTTTACCAAAATATGGCATTTGATAGAAGGGAGATTTCAGATAGTTAAAATTAATTATTTCTGTCTATGTATCTTCATTTCCTAAATTTCTTAGATGATATTACTTCCATAATTTAAAAAAAGAGAAAGAATTGGTGATAGTGCTTGGTTTGTTTCTGTATTTCTCCACCTTATTGCACCCTAAGCTCTCTCACTCATGGGGTATTGAGAGAAACACAGAAATAAAATTAAACAAACAAATTACTAGTTATACCCATGACTGAAGAGGAATGATTTATGTGCACACTAGGTCATAGAATATCCTAATGCAAAGGGCAGCATAATAAGAGTCCGAATTTGAATGTAGGTAGGATCTCAAAATACACACTCAATAACAATATGTGTGATCTAATTAGTAAAGAATCGTATGTCGTAGGGGATTAGTGTGAAGTTCCTTTATGGTTCTAGAGAACACTGTCATTATGTTGTAGGGAGGGAAAATACTGAAAACAGGAATCTGGTACCTTAGTTGAGGAACTGCTGGATGAGGTTGGTGGCAGCTTCTGAGGAGTCTGAAGGCAGCCCTCATTTGGGATTATGCTGGGGTTTGCACATTGTGGAGGCTGACTCTGCTCCAGGCATAGTTTCCTTTTCTTGGAGTCAAGTGTTTTATTGGTTGTGTCTTCTATTTTTTGAATCCAAAAATATGTATTTTCTTCTTCCTGGTTAATGGTTTTCAATATCAGATGAACCATAATATTTCTCTCTTACCCTCTATCTCGCTCTGTCTCTATCTGTCTGTCTCTCTCTCACACACACACACCACAGGATCTTCACTCTGCCAATTTGCTCTGGAATAATAATACATCTTCAGATACCCTCAACACATCCCCAGCTTGGTGTCCAACCAGGATTTCAAACTTCTCTCTTCAAATGTTAAAAACTCAGGTGATCAAAATTTCATCAGTCTGTTTTGGAATTCTGGCTCTACCTCTGCTGCAAACTGGCCTGTATCAACTTCACCAAGACAACACTTGGAGTAATTTATTAGTAGAAAACTCTACCAGGTTATAATGGAAGCACATCTCTGAACAATGTTGGCTGTACTTATGGACATTTTATTAAGTAAGTCTTCATTACCTTATATATTTACCAAATAAGCAAATCCGTTTCTATCATCTACTCTTCAAATCCAGGAAACCCAGGTCTGCATCCATTTGAATGCTTTGTTTATCAGCAGACCAGAGACATTGTCTCAAATTCATAATTCCAAAGGCAGGATTCTGCTATCTACCTAGTCTCTATCAAGCAACCAAATCTTTCATAGTTCTCAGCAGTAAACAGACCCATTCACAATTTCACCCAGGGCATTCTCAGTACATGGACTTTTATAATTGTTTAAGCCAGGGCAGGAAGTGTCTGTAAAATCATTTATTTTGACTATGTTTGGTTTCACTGATGAAAGACCATTTCTAACATTCTTCAGTATAGAATTGCCACAGTTCTTACCACTTCTAGCATTCATTTAACCAATCCATAAAGTATCAGTTGTTGATAAAATTGTAGATGAGGGAGCTGCTTAAAATGCCTGTCTCTGGCATGCAGCTACTTGATTAGAATACCATCTGACCTTCCTTCTCACTTCATCCCTCATTAGAAGGCTTAAGAGTCTGGGCAATGGAAACAAATCTGAGATATAACACTATCTGACATAAATTTTTACAAATAAATTTCAGATATTGTAGCATCTATACTACAATATATGCAATTAAATGCTCAAGTTTTAGAATTCAGTTAGGCTACAGTTGAATCCTGGCTCTATCACTCACTTTCTGCATGACCTGGGAGAAGATTTCTAACCTCTAAGAACTTCAGTTTTCTCATATGTAAAATGGGATTAACAATAGCATCCTCATGTGACGTTATAAAGAACAAATGAGGTAATGTACACAAAGAACACAGGTTTTAGAGCCTAGCATCATTAAATGCTCATTACCTAGAAATATCACTACATTATTATTTTACAGTAGACACAGGGCTTTCTATTTTTGCTCTGATCCACAGATGTTTCATGCTTAATGTTGGCTTTCTTGATGGAAACCCAATATAGAGGTGGTATGGGAAGCACTTTATTAAAGAAGCTTCTCTATTCACTTCTGCTACATTTAGTAATTCAATCTCATTGACAAGAGCATCTTGATCATTTTTTACATTCGGTTAAACCAAAAACTTCCATCATAACAGTAGGATTTAGGTCCCTAAAACATACTATATGGCTGGATAATACTTAAAAATAATAATTGAATTTTTTCCCTTGGCTTATTTCCTTCACCACTCTACCCTGTTCTTGAATCATGCCAATGTGTGCTGTTTGCTACTTGGGAGACATAGCAGCAGGAAGCAAAGAAAATATTGGTCTGCTTCTGTCTTTGAATTCCAAACAGAGCCTATATTACAAAGAAAATAGTTGGGAGACCCCATGATGAAGAAGAGCAAGGCTTTCCTGCTCTTTCCACTGATGAATCAAAGACAGAATGGGTCAGATCGTCTTTGTGCCAGGTCTCCTACAGAGGTGGCTGGACCCCAAAGAAGAAATGACTGAATGGTGTGTTTAAGTGTATGAGACCAAAAGGACAGATGAGCCCCCCTGGGACTCCTGTGCTCCAAGGAGTTTTAGGGGCAGCAGAATGATTCTTATGAAAGTAGAAATGACTATGTCACAAGTTTAGGCAGACAGGACCTTAGAAAGTGTCAATTCTAAGCCTGTAGGCATAGAAAAATAGGGTTGTCTTGCAAGAGGGAGGGGATATGGGGATATATGTATACATATAGCTGACTCACTTTATTACACAGCAGAAACTAACACACAATTGTAAAGCAATTATACTCCAATAAAGATGTTAAAAAAATAAAGAAGAAAAATAGGGTTGTCTAGAGATGTCCACATAAGTCATTGTCGTAGCAGAGAGACAGTAAGCCTGGGGTTTCAATGACTAGACCAAGGCTAGCTGGACCTAGAGGCAAACAGGCACAGATTACCAGCTCCATCCCATAAATAAAAGAAAGAGAGACTATGTGAGGAATTATTAATTATTGGAGGTAACAGTAATAAAAACAATAACAAAACTTGAAAAATCTTGTCAGAAGAAATCTGTCTTCAACTGGTATACATGGATTTGCGTAGGGTGCTTCAGCCTCAGCAGCTTGGAACTTGGGTGACAAACTATTTTAGAGAATAGTGATTTAAATACTGCTTTTGCCTATTCCTCAGTCACTTGCTTATTTGCTGCAGAAATAGGCATTGTATCCCAGTGTGATGATAAGCACAGGGGTCATATCAGGGCAGAACAAAGGCAGGCTAGGATAGGAGCTGATACACACGTGTGTGTACTCACTTTTCCATTCTTATCTGGTCCTTGCTGGGAAAGGGCACTGTGAATGAAAACTATGGCCTGCCACATCAGTAAACTGAGGATGCTGCAGCCATCAAGCCATCACATTAAAGCTTCCCTGATGGTAAGCCCTAAGGGAACTCAGGATAGAAACAGGATGCCCGCCATCTAGCAGTCAACTGCTGCAGCCAACCCTGATGGTGCACCTTGAGGAAACTCAGCATGAGAAAGCACAGGAGACTGGCCCCAGATAGCTGAGGTTTATAGCAAAGGAATGATTTCAGTGAGTTCAGACTCTTGCATCTTCCTATACATAGAAAAGTGCCAAATTCCTTAACTTGAGATATCTGGCTGTCTTTATTAACAGTAATCTTTTGATGTTCCAACTACCTGGTCTTTGTTGCAAAACCTCCTATACATCCTGGCTCCCCCCTTGCTTCTTCAGAGCAGTATCTCAGAGCTATCTGAGATTCTGTGTTCCCCACTTAAGTCCTCATATTGTCTGCCAAATAAAACATAACTCTCAACTTTTAGGTTGTGCATTTTTCTTCAGTTGACAGGCACCTTATAACTGATGTTACAGTATAGTAACAAAGAAAAATGTACATTTATTACAGTTGTGATAAGTGCTAAAAAGGAAGAGGAAATGGATCTTTTAAAGCAAACAAAAGGAATACCTAGGACTTCCCTGGTGGCACAGCCATTAAGAATCTGCCTGCCAATGAAGGGGACATGGGTTTGAGCCCTGGTCCGGGAAGATCCCACATGCCACGGAGCAACTAAGTCCATGCACCACAATTACTGAGCCTGCGCTCTAGAGCCTGCAAGCCGCAACTACTGAGCCCGGGAGTCACAACTACTGAAGTCTGCATGCTTAGAGCCCATGCTCTGCAACAAGAGAAGCCACTGCAATGAGAAGCCCACACACCACAATGAAGAGTAGCCCCCACTCACCACAACAAAGACCTAACGCAGCCAAAAATAAAATGTAGATAAATAAATACATTTATTTAAAAAAAAAAAAAGAGGAATAGCTAATGTATTCTGGGAGGGGGGTATCAGTGAGGACTTGTATGAGGAAGAGATTCAGGTTTGCACCTGAAAGGTGAAGACACCTGAACCAGTGGTGAAGCAGGACAAGTGATTCCAAACAAAGAAAGCAGTCCATGTCAAAACATCTGACATGGGAAGGAGCACAGAACTTTGAAAATAAACCCTATCATGTGGTCAGTGAACAAAGGGGAGTAGGGCCAAGGAAAGTGGAATGTAAGGGTGAACACGCATTCATCTTGACTTGTCTGGTCACCTTCCCCTCCTCTTTCTATTCAACACAAGAGTGTAACCCTCTCAAAATTAGAGATTATTTCATAAATACATGCTTTGTAAATAGCCAAGGAGTTAGAATAGAGTGGAATCACAAAACATACACGGAAAAATGAATGAGTGATTATATTAAATAAATAAATGGTAAATTGTGGGAAATGAGATTATGATAATTCTTGTACTTATGTTGTAGGAGGTACAAGGAATGGGAACAGGGAGCAGGTACCTTGACTGAGAAACTGCTGGACGGTGTTGGTGGAGGTATAGATTTCACTGGACAACTGCTCCCAGTTGGGCATGTGCTGGTTGCTGAAGTTCCTGGAAGCTGACTCTGTTTCTGAGATATGGTCTTCCTTTTTAAGTCATTAATTTTGGTGGCTATGTCATTTTTTTTCTTGAGAAAAAAAGATTTTTTTCCTTAGTTCTTGATAATGATTTTCAAAATCACATAGAACACAACATCATTTCTTTTCTCTCTTTTAATGTAGAGTCTTAAGTTTTCAATTTTTTTCTGAAATAATAGCACATATACAGATACCTGTATTACCTATCCTTCTCCTATCTCAACTAGGATTACAAATTTCACTCTCCAAATATTAAAAGCTCAGATGAAATTTCATTGGTTTGGGATGGAATCCAGACCCTACATCTGATGCAAACTGGCCAAAGCAGGAAGGTAAACTTCCCTGGTTATAAGGGAAGCAAATCTCAGTCCAAAATTGACTGCATTTAAGGATGCTTATTAACTATGACTTTCTGATCAAGAAAATACACAAGTGGGTTTCTGATATCTGCTCTTCAGGCTCCTAGAAACCTACTGATATTTGGGGAAAGATTACTGGATGAAATATGGACTCTTGGAACTAATAAAAATGACAACAAGGAAACTACACCCCAAATAGAGAGTCCCTTTATATGGGAGGTCTGTCTTCAAGGGGCATGTGTGTGTGTGTGGGGGGGGTGGGTATGCAGCCTGAGTCAGAGGGCAGCTTGGGTCTTAGATGAGAAACTATGTTAGAGAATAGTGGTTTAAATCCTGCTCTTGCCTACCCTTCATGTTGTCTTGGGGCCATCTTTTAGTGCCCATTCACCTCAAATACAGGCTCCATAGTCCTGGGTTGCATATAACCACAGGGCAAAACAAAAAGCAGGTTGGAATAGGAGTCAATGTCTACAGGTGTGAAAACACTTTCCCACCCCTGTCTTGTCTTCCTCTGGGACAGGTTACCTATAATCTGAGCTCCTTGTCTAGAAGAAAAGAAAAATGTAGAGTTATCGCAGTTGTGATAAGTACTATAAAGGAATAGTAAAGCGTCCTGTGAAGGCAAACAATGAGAGTATCTGATCCTTTCTTGAAAGGAGTTGTTTCAGTGAGGACTTGCCTGGGGAAGGAATTCAGGTTGGTACCTGAAGGTTGAATGTTTTTGAGCCAGAGAAGAGACAGGGATAATGAATTCCCAATCAAGGAAAGAGCCTATGTGCAAACACCTGACATGGGAAAGAGCATATAATGCTGAGAACTAGTCTAGACCCGTGGTTAAGGGGAAAGGGGTGAAAGGAGACTGAAATGTAGGGGAGAAACATACACTTATAGTCATGTCTAATTGTCTGGCCACTCCCATTCCCTATTTCAGGACCAAACATAAGACAGTCACATTCTTGAGGTCAGGAATTATTTCATAAATGCATACCTTGCCAAAAGCCACAGGACTTAGAATACATTGAGGTCTCAATATCTGCATTTGATAAATTAATGGGTGATTTTCTTATATAAGGAAATTTTATATAGTAAGGGATTACTGAGAAACTCTTTCAAGGTCATGAGGATCCTTATAATATGATGTAGGGTGGTGAACATATTAGGAACAGGAAAATGGTACCTTGGTTGAGGAACTGCTGGATGGGTTTGGTGGAACCATTTGAGGAGTCTGGGGAAGGCTCTCAGTTGACTGTGTACTGGTTACTAACAATCCTGGAAGCTGACTCTGCTCCTTCTTTAGATTCATCCTCTTAGATTCATTAGTTTTTGTGGTTTTCTTTCCCTGAAAGTAGCGTTTTTTTCCCCTGGTTAATACTTTTCAATAATAAAAGAAACACATCTTTACTACTGAGAAAATCAAATTTTTATTATTAGATTCTAATTATACTAAAATTTATGTCCTTGGGAACTCCAGGGAACTACATAAAGTCCATCGTCTGAAGAGATGGCCAGAAGGTAAGCAGTGCACATGTATGTTGGCTTCATACAAATAGTAAGGAAAATTTTATACATGTCATTCCTGTACTCACTTCTGTGCTGATGAGAGGAGCAGTGGACTTGGATTTAGAAAATCTAAGTTTGAATTTAGTCTCCTTGAGTAGGCTTTGGCAAGCTGTTTTCCTAATCTGATTGCTATTTTAATATACATCTAAAAGAGGGGTAATGATTTCATATTTCCACCATAGGGAATTATATTACACAATTTAAAGTGCACAGTAGTTCGGAAACATAATGGGTGATCAGTACCTATTAATTCACTGGTTCTAAAATTAATTTTCACTCTGGCCCTGGATTCCTTTTCCTCTGATTCATTTATTTGCATGTTGAGAAATGAATAAAGAACTAAGTGTTCATAAGAAAGTAACAAGTAGAAAAGCCACAGTAAAATCTCCTTTTGTGGGACCTTAGCCATCCTACCTTCACAGGTGTATCCTTGATTGATTCAGGTCCCAAAGCTTTATTAGTGGTGGATGTAGGTTGGTCAGGACTGGGTTTATTCAGCTTGCTTTTTTTCACTGGAGTTGCTTCTTTTGCTTTGCTTCTCTTAATAACTGATGTGGTAAAAGAGAACATGATAAATCCAGAGGAGATGGTCTAAGATACCTGAAGCACCTTCAATACTATTTCCTGTCACTTCCTGCTTGTGGATCTGGGTAAGCTTGTATCTGCCTCTACTGCATTAGCCTAGCTTGGCCATAGGTGGCCAGCAGTAGCAGCATAGGTATAGGTACTGGCTCAGACTTCCTCAGTGGTTTCCTTTCTTGTCCCCTGTACCACAAGCATATTCTTCCTGTCCTCTGGACTCCTATCTAGCTCAGTCGAACCCTTTTACAATCCACTTATTCTATATTTTCCTTTTAAGAATCTAAAGTTTTCATGATGCTAGTGGTGGGTCAATTTCTACAGAAGATCTATTTGAATTACTGAAACCAGAGAAAACGAATATAATCTAATTTGTGATGGGACAAAGCGGTGATACTGGACTTTGACTTTTTAAAATATGTTTTCCTAATCCAGTGGTTTTATAAGAGGCAAGTTCTTCACATCTCTCAGAGGTAGGATTTTATTTAAGTACTGCCTCAGAGTTTTTTTCTAGAAAGTATAAAAATGATGGAGTAAATATGATAATGGAGCATGCATATTAACTGATTTAAATATTTCAAGAACCTACATGTTCTAATTTTGTTTCATCATTGTCTAACCTTTCTAATGTATGGAAGCCTCAGCCTTTCTCATCAGCTCCTTCTAATATTTTCTTTGCCCACACCCCCAAAATAAACCCTCTAAAACATATCAGATCTCTTTGTAGGAAAGGCATCCTCTAAGTTATCAATTTGCTGGCATCTAAAGTACTACCACTTTCATGGCTACTGAGTCCTAAGTTGGGAAAGAGCGGTCTAAACTTTGACCAAATCAGGGTTCTATTTAAGGTTGAGGTCAGTACAGAGAGAGTGAGAAAGAGGTTTTCCAAGTACCTTTTAACTTCTCATTTTTAAGAATTTTAGCAAGGCCTTTAATTTCTTCTATATCTTTGACCAATTCTATTAATTTGTCAACACAGGCAGGCCCACGGAACTTTTCTTCCATCAGGTTAGCAATCTTAACTCTGTCATATTCATCTTGCATTTTACTAGTCAGTCTTAAATCCTTGGCCAGTAAACACTTAATCACGCTAAACTGATAATCACTGATGTGCTGAAATCCTTTCAGCAGAACAATTCTCTTGAATTCATTCCCCATCTCTCAAGTTAGGGATGTGCCTGCAAGAGAAAAGTAACATACAGTGTTACACCTTTAGACAGACAATTTAAAAGACTGGTTATGTCTATGCGAGTTAACGGCATATGTCAAAGTATCATCCATGGGTGTGTGTGACAAAAAGAGACTATTACCAGACGTGTTACTGTGGAAAGTGGTTTGAAAACTGCTGTATGAGAAACTTCTAAGAAATTCTCCCATTTTAATGATGATCTTGAGTTGGTTTAAGGGTGGGTATGGTGGAAGGAGGTCCAGAAATAAGCAATGGTTGCAGTGTGTCAAGTATGGACTATGCAGTGTCAAAGTCCCTGATTCCTCCACCCATCCTTTATTGAAACTATAGCCTACTTCTTGAATGTCTGCCTTGTTGGTTCATGACTCTTTCCACCATGTCTGAAGTGGCCTATGAACAAAACGGGCTGCAACCTCTCACCTTATACAAATATCCTTCTGCCATAGCACTACAGTTCCACGCTGGGTACCAACTCTAGTCCATCCACTTGGCACTTCCCTAGTCAGTTCTCATTAGCATCATCTCTCCCTGGGGTGTGGACCATGTTCTCTGTGTCCTATGTGCCCATATCAGTGTCCCTTTGTTGGACTTCTCCCTTCTCTCTTAGGATCACAGCATTTATTGGCTGGAATTATTTTAATGGCTGCTTGATTTTTCTCCTTCCAGGCTTAATTTCTCTAATCAGTTTTTTTCATAGAGCCAGATATCTCTCTATAAAGCCACGGTTCTATCCCACTTGACATCCTTCAACAGTTCCTCATTTTCTCTTTGAAAAAGTTCTTGCTCCATAGCCTGGCTTAAAATGCCTTGAATAATCTGCCTCTTTCTTTACCTCTGTAAATTTTATGTCTCTTGCTCTAGAAATATACACCACACCTTACCTTTTCATATTTCATGACTTTGTTAATTCCCTTTCCAAGGCCTAGAAAGCCATTCCCATCTCTCTTCCTGTGAATACCTCCTTAGAGCATTCAAGACTCAACTGAGGTTTTGTCTTCTGAAAGCTACCAGGGGCCTGATTTGGGAGTGAGTGTCACTCTTCTGGGCCTCTTTAGCACCCTGTGCACCTCCTTGATGGCACTCCATGTATGGTATGCATTCCAGTTTTCTGTTTCAAGTCATGAATTCTTTTAGTTAGGAAACATGTGTTTGTGTACCTTTTCTGTAATTGGAATGTTCAAATTCCCAGGGGTGTGAATTATTCCTTCTTGAGAGATCATGAGCATCCTCAGTTAGATCAGGCCCATAGAGTGATGAGCCCACACCGGCCCAGGACCACCACAGTGCTGCAGTCTGCCTTATCAGAAACCAGCCAATCCACCAACAGGCCTGAAACAGCCCAAGAATCTCCTGGGCCATTGACCTGCCTGCCAGTAGGTCAAAACCAATTCTGGGACACCTTGGACCCCTTAGCCAGTGGCCCTAGGCTTTGGCCCCAATGACCAACAGGCTTACACCAGCTTCAGAACCTCCAGGGTCCTGTAGCCAGAGGCCCTGAGACCTGGCTTCACCCATCAGTGAGCCAGCACTAGTCCCAGTAAGCCCTGGTCCTGTCCTTTAGCAGGCTGACTCCAGCCCTGGGGCCACTGGGCCTCAGACCCAACCACCAACAAGCCAACACCAGTTCTGAGACACACTGGACCCCTCAGCCAGCTGCCCCATGACCAAACCCCACTCACCAGTGGCCGGCACCAGTTTTGGTACACGCCAGAACCTGTAGCCTGCTGGCCTGCTTACCAGTGGGCCAGCACTGTCTCTGGGACTCCCAAGGTTGTACAGCCAGTCACCTTGTGACCCAGCCTCACCAACCATTGTCCTTGGCACAAGGCAAGGCCTGGCAACCAACTGGGGCCAGCCACACCTACCAGACTATCCACGATAGTCAGCCGACCACAAAAGAAGGACTTGCATAGCTCTCATAGGGGGAACCCCTAGAGCAGGGGCCCCCAAACCCTGGGCTACAGACTGGTACCAGTCCATGGCCTATTAGGAACAGGGCTGCACAGCAGGAGATAAGCAGCGGGCAAGCAAGCAAAGCTTCATCTGTATTTACAACTGCTCCCCATTGCTCACATTACTGCCTGACCTCCACCTCCTGTCAGATCAGCGACGGCATTAGAGTCTCATAGGAGCGCGAACCCTACTGTGACTGCGCATGTGAAGGATCTAGGTTGTGCACTCCTTATGAGAATCTAATGCCTGATGATCTGAGGTGGAGCTGAGGCAGTGTTGCTAGCACTGGGGAGTAGCTGCAAATATAGATTATCATTAGCAGAGAGGTTTGATTGCACAGAGACCATAATAAATCAATTGCTTGCAGACTCATATCAAAACACTATCAGTAAGAGGCAAGTGACAATTAAGCTGCATCTGTTGGCAGGCTTTATAGTGGCAAGTGAGTTGATGTACTTCAATTGTACAGCTGCATCTGGTGGCAGAGCTTAAGTCAGAATCCGACACTTATTTTAGTCTGCACATGGCTGGTCCATTATTTTATTTACTACTTCTGTCCATGCCTCTTTCCTGCACTGCGCACTTGTCTCAGTCACAGTTTTGGCAAGCCTGCAAGCTAACCCTAGCCAAAATGAGTAAAAACCAAAAGTCACTGGAGAGCTTCTTTGAAAATGGGGAAAGACCCAATGATGAGACAGCAGAAGACTCTTAAGACTGCCAACAAAAAGAAAGCTGCATTTAAAAGAAAATACCAAGAGTCCTACTTAAATTACGGGTTCATTGCAACAGGTGATTCACATTCTCCAAGACCACTTTGCATAATATGCGGTGACCAGCTATCCAACGAAGCCATGAAACCTTCAAAACTATTTCACCACATGGAGACCAAGCACCCTGCATGAAAAGACAAGCCTTTGGATTTTTTCAAAACAAAAAACGTGAACACGAAGAACAGAAGCAATTATCGAAGGCCACCACTTCATCAAATGTGTCTGCACTGAGAGCATCATTCTTAGTGGCTAATTGCATTGCTAAAGCTAAAAAGCCCTTTACTATTGGTGAACAGTTGATCCTGCCTGCTGCTAAGGACATTTGTTGTGAAATTTTAGGAGAGGCTGCAGTTCAAAGGTGGCACGTGTTCCTCTTTTGGCTAGCACCATAACTAGATGAACTGATGAAATAGCAGAGGATATTGAGTCACAATTGTTAGAGAGGATTAATGAGTCACCGTGGTATACAATCCAGGTTGATGAGTCTACCAATGTTGACAACAAAGCAACAATGCTTGTTTTTGTGTGATATATTTTTCAGGAGGATGTGCATGAGGACATGTTAATGTGCACTTTTGTTGCCAACCAACACCACAGCTGCAGAACTATTCAAGTCTTTGAATGATTACATATCAGGAAAACTGAACTGGTCATTTTGTGTTGGTATATGCACAGACAGAGCGGCTGCCATGACTGGACGGATTTCTGGTTTCACTACTCAGGTCAATTTGGTCGCTTCTGAATGTGAGTCTACGCACTGTGTCATCCATAGAGAAATGCTGGTTAGCCAAAAAATGTCACCTGAACTTAACAACGTTCTGCAGGATGTGATTAAAATTATTAGCCACATTAAAGTACATGCCCTTAACACACATTTGTTCATGTAGCTCTGTGAGGAGATGGACACAGAGCACACACATCTTCTCTTATACACAGAAGTGAGATGACTTTCTAAAAGTAGATCACTGGTGAGAGTTTTTGAGTTATGAGAGCTGCCTCAGAGATTTCTTGTAGAAAAACAGTCACCATTGGCAGCACATTTCAGTGACACAAAATGGGTCTCAAAACTTGCTTACTTGTGTGACATATTCAACCTGTTCAACAAACTCAATCTGTCACTTCAGGGGAGAACTACAACTGTGTTCAAGTCAGTAGATAAAGTGACTTCATTCAAAGCCAAACTGGAATTAGGCGGCTGACAAGTGAACATTGGGATTTTTGATATGTTTCAAACATTAGCAGAGATTTTGAGAGGCTGAGCCAGGGCCTTCTTTCTCCCAGCTGGTGCATTATCACCTATCTCAGTTTTCAAGAGAGTTTGAGCATTACTTCCCAACCACAAAAGACCCCCGAACTGGGAAGGAATTGATCTACAACTCATTTGTGAATAAGCCAGGTGAATCGACTTTGTCATGCTAGAAGAGGATCAACTGCTTGAGACTGCAAATGACAATGGCCTTAAAAGTATGTTTGAGACAACTTCAAATCTCCATGCATTCTGGATTAAAGTCAAGGTGGAATATCCTTAAATTGCCACAAAAGCACTGAAAAGCCTGCTTCCATTTCCAACATCCTATCTTTGTGAAGCAGGGTTTTCTGCAGTGTCAGCAACCAAAACGAGATTACAGAGTAGACTGGACATGAGCAACGCACTTCAGCTGTCACTGTCTCCCATCATCCCCAGATGGGACCATCTAGTTGCAGGAAAACTGCTCAGGGCTCCCACTGATTCTGCATTATGGTGAGTTGTATAATTATTTCATTATATATCACATTGTAATAAAAATAGAAATAAAGAGCATAAGAAATGTAATGTGCTTGAACCATCCCGAAACTATTCCCCCCACCCCAGTCTGTGGAAAAATTGTCTTCCATGAAACTGGTCTATGGTGCCAAAAAGTTGGGGACTGCAGCCCTAGAGCATATAGCTCTGGTGACCAGAAGGGAGTGCACTTCTGGGACAAATAGGACATCTTCTACAAAAGACTACTTCTCCAAGGTCAGGAAACATAACCAACGTACCAAATACACAGAAATAAAACAAGAAATTAGGCAAAATGAAGCTATAGAGGAATATGTTCCAAATGAAGGAACAAGATAAAACCTCAGAAGAACAACTAAGTGAAGTGGACATAGGCAACCTACCCAATAAATAGTTCACAGAGGTGACCATAAAGTTGCTCAAAGAACTTGGGAGAAGATTGGATGAACAGAGTGAAAAGTTAGAAGTTTTTAACAAAAAATTAGAAAATATAAAGAAG